ATGTTTTTCTAATCACAGAGCACCTTATAATGATTTTGAAAAACTGAATAAATGATATGTTTTTAAACCACAGGCAGATTTATCTGTATACATATTACACCAAACATATAAATAAAGTCTGGCTTAGTGGGGTTGACATTTTACAAGATGTCTACACATATCTATAATCACAATTGCTTTTCATGGCAGTACAGCAAAACCAACTAGGCAGACGTAGTCACATCAGATTTTCAAATAAGCAAATAATGGTTTAAGTTGCTTGTTCAAAGTCAAGAGACTCTTTTTGGTCTAGGTCTTCTGATTTCAAATGCAATGTTCTTTCCCTTTCCCTACTAGTTTTAAAAACAAAATGCAGCCAAGGTAATTTTGATCAATTGGCCTGAAATTCTCCAAACTCTCATCTGTTGATTTTTATGCTAATAGATACTCTCAAAATTCTCCATCATCTCTCTTAACTATTGTTAGCGACATAAGTTAATAAGTGAAACTAGAAAGTACTCTGTTAGCTATTTGGTGTCTGCATTATTTTTATAACTGTAAATAGTTAAAAATTATTAAAATACTTTAAAGAATTCCATATAAAGCACTTTTATTTGCTGAACAATTAAAAAGAGCGTGGCTCTATGAAGTTCAGGGATATTACATTTAATAACAGCATAAAAGCACTGGTTGCATCTTAAAGTACTCTCGTATCAGATAATTTGGAAAATTAAAACTAATTTATAATCTTTTAAATAGGCCTCTTTTCAATATAATTGGGATAGTATACAGAGCACAAGGAATTTAGAGTGGAGGTCAACAAAACTGGAAAAACAAAGACACTCCCCTTACAAGAATATTAAACGTATAAAATTAATTTGCATATACCAACACCCAGTGGATTCATTTTATTTTGGAGCCAAATAACAAAAGCAATTTAGAATCGCTCCACCACTTATCGAGCACTTTCTTCATGCTCTTGAAAGTTCACTGCTATGAGAGATGACCCTGAAAACAGATAAATTAAAATCATTTTCCAAATGTCAAAAGCCAGAGAAAGCAGCGGAACTAGTTGTCGCCGGCCTTCAGACTGACAGCCCTGTCTCCCTTCACGCGCCTCCCTCCCAAGGAAACAGACAAAACAAATCCCCTTCTTTGGCTTGGTTACCAGCCTCCTCTCCGTTAGGTCATTTCTCAGTCCCCTAACAAACTAGATCCATGTTTGAAAGAAAGCTATTATATTTACTAAATTATATGAAGTTTGACTTTCTTCTTGTGCTGAAGGAGGCTCTTTTGTGCTATTAATTGTTTTCTAACAGGATAGCACCTCTGGGAGAACATGAGCCGCCCCCGCCCCGGCCCAGTATCATTACAAAGACTCACTGGGCAGCCGGGACCCACCAACTTCCCTTCTTGCTCCCTAGGCTCCAATTCAGCATTAGAGCTAAAGTGACCAAATGCTCTGCTTAACTCCTTTGGCATAAAGCAGGGAAGGAAACCCTCTAGGCTATCCACTAACAGTAATGATATTAATTTACATAGCCTGTCTTCTCTAAGGACAAATGAATATGGTGTTGACTCAACAGACACCTAGTAAAAAGAGTCCGCCCTCAAAGAATTAGACCAGGGTAGCTTCGAAAATGGATATGTAACACTCTACACAGAAGACAGGTTTGTGGAGACCTTCTTATAGACCTGACACTAGTAGACACCCACACACTTATACTTTATTTTTAAAAGGTACACTTTTCTAACGAATGATGACTTCACCATAAAGCACTTCCCCATAGAGAGTAAATATAAGAGTAAATATAGGCAGATGCATATAAGCCAAGTCACTAACTAGGTCATTTACCCCTTCCCCCTCTCCATGATTTTGGCTTAGGTAAGTGTTCTAACTGTATGGTTGAACTGGATTGAGAGAGGAACGGACAGATCTGTTCTTACCTTACATTTTTCATGCAAAAATGCTTCTATTTTATATATGTGAACACCCAGTAACAGACATTAAGCATACTTGGGTAATTTTTTAAAAGAAGATTATTTTAGAAGTTAAAAAGGCTTCAGGAGAGCCACACATTCGTACTACAATTTGGGAATTTGCATTTACATAGATCTAAACAGCAAATACACTGTGAATCACACACTCAAGTTTTCACTTGAGATTTGTGATGACAGAGGATGTGACCAAGTTTTGAATACAACGGAAACAATAATTGCAGAAGTTAGAGTTTTAGAATCTCCTTTCCATTGACAATTAGATTCAGATTTGACAATTAAATCCCAACCTTACTTCACTAGATATTAATCTTGCAGTGGGAATAGGAGGCTTCTAAAGAAGCATTACTGCTACAATAGAAAAGCCTCTCTCCAGAGTAGAACAATAACGTTGTGTTGAAATTTAGAAATAGAACTATTAGGTCGTGTTAGCTAATTATGTTATTGGCATCCACTTAAGTTAGACAGTTTTTCATTTCTGTCATTTTCTCTGTTCAACTGCTGCCGTTCAAAACGTTTTGACTACTTAAAAGGGAATACATCATCGTTGCCTTTCCCCAGTCTAACTGCAAACCACTTTCCAAAGCAATAGCTTCAATCATGCTTCATAAAATCCCCTGCAAGTGTATTGTTGGAAACATAAATCAGCAAGCTGGGATTTCAGTATGTCTAAGGCAAGCCCAGGGATCACTGACTGGAGGCTTTTCCATGGCCCCCTTTATAAAAGAATAAACAAAATTATGAGTTCTACTAGATCTATTTAAAAAAAAAAAAAAAAACTACTCCCAGTGGTATGTCTGATACCTGCTGCTACATCCTTAATTGGAGAACAAAACACTAGCATAGAAGAATTGGACTCCCGGATCCGGCTTGCTGTTTCTAAGCATCTCTGATTTCATTAGGACACACGTCACAGAAGTACTACATGTTCCATTTCACAGAAGCTAGGTCTCTCTGGTGGACCTCTATGCCTCTGTTGAGAGTCATGCATTTTTAAATTGTAGTAGATAGAGAGCTCTTTAGAACTATGCTCTCCTCCTTCCCTGTTTTAGTACAGTGAATAGGGCTCCCCTTCCGTTAGGCTTCGGTCTTAGAGCTCCTCTTTATATTGGCCCTGCATTCTGAATTATAAATATATGAATCTCAATTTCAGATGTACGTTACATATACGGATTTGAATTATATATGTCTTTGTATACTGTTTAAACATTCCTAGATTTCCCCTGGGCGCCCAAATTCCGACACACTTAGTGTCTACAACGGTAAATTCACAGACTCCACAACTGAGACATTTTTCTTCTGCAAATCAGTAACAATGTAATCATAAGTCTGCATAAACTTGCTTCCTGTTATGGCCCCATCTTGTTCCACACTATCTATACTTGGTTAATTGCAGTGGTATTTTAACTGCAATTTACAGGGACTGCTTCTTGTTCAGAAATACCTGTCTCTACTCTAAATGAACAGTTAAATATAATTTGCATCTCTCCAAAAATTAAACAGCATACTTATAAAGCATATATTGATTTTTGCTGTAGTAGTGATTGAATAAACCGATTGGGCTAATATTAGCTTCAGGTGGACATATCTGCAATTTTGCTATGACTGAAATTTTGCATACTCTATTATTAAGGGAAAATGAGCAGCACCTGACCAAGACACTTTACAAACTATAGCAACATCCAGTGTTTGAATTCTGAACATAAGATCTGCATCCAATCGTGTTTCATCAGCCACTAATGCTATAGCTTCAGGAAGGAGAAGGGCAGAGAAAGAAAGGTTTCATATCCAAAATGTCAAGCCCTGCTGAAGAATGATAGAAGGACCAGTGAGTGTGGCAGAGCAGAAATAACCATTTCTAGGCTTAAAAATGGAGTTCTACCACCCCCTGCTGGACCATATGTCATATGCAGAAGAGGCTAAAAAAATGCTTAGAATTGAATATAGTGGAGATATTTTAACTTGTCTTATAATTTATTTTTCCTCAAAAAACAATTTAATGCTATGCAAATAATGTAACATTCTCTGCAGTTATCACACATCACAAAGTCACTGCTATTTTCTTTTTCTTCAAAGACTTCCACCAATGCATGTTTTAATATGTTGTGTCCCCAATTAAATGTGCAAACTTGTCTGGATAGTTGAAAATGCCTCCATTATGATAAATATGTTTTACGAGAATGTAAACTACCTTTAAAAAAAGCAAAATAATTTCAAATCTACCTCTATACAAACAAACAGAGGTAGCTTCCACAAATTCTCTCTCAGGTTATTCTAGTATGCTATTCATCTTTTTTTTTTTTTTTCTTAAGAAATAAAATCTACCACCAGTTCTCCATTAGCTTAAAAAAAAAAAAAAAGAAAATCCCTTACAGGTGTAATAACAATCTGACGTTATATAAAATTTCATCCTTGATGTATTAATGGGGGGGGGGTGAAAATGAATGACTGCAACACATCCCTAGTTTTATCCATTTGCTTTCTTACACACAACATCCACGGCCCCTCTCTCCTCTTAGTTTTCAACAGAAATAAGCCATCATCGTTCACTTCATAGTCAGGAATTAGGGTCTTGAGAAAGGAGGGGTGTCTAAGAATTGCATTACTTGCACACAACACATATTTCCCGAACGAGTTTAATGCTGACAGTTTTTGCTGCTTCTGTAAAACAGCATTGTTCTCTTTCCTTCCGCAACCAGATTTTACCTGTTAATACACACCAACATACTCATCCCATTTTTGATAATGAAACCAGAGAAAGCCAAGATCCCAGGGAGGGGTGGGGGGAAGCAGTTTGCCTTAATCTTCTGCTCCTGGATGCCCATCTCCAATTCTGTATTTTCTCTTATTTAAAATACAGATGCAATTGTTAGCGGCAGCTAAAAGAAAGAGCGAACATAATAGCAACAACAGAAACTATAACTTTAGTTCTTTCATTTAAATCTTCTTGTGCCTCCCTCTGCTTCTCTGGGTTGGGTGGAAGGGGGAGGGAAAGTAAATGCAATAAAGCACCACACTCCTACCTTGCCCGCTACTGACAAGCAACCCGAGCAAGTAGAAGGAGAGGAGGAGGCTCATGTTCAGGACGTGACACCGGTGGACACTTCCAAAGTTATTAAGTCCAGCCTGGAGAGAGAACCTTCCGCTGCCACGGCCGCCTCGGCTACAGCTGCCGCCACTCCCGGATGCCCCAGCCGCCCGCAGCCCGCGCGCTCCTCCTCGCAAAGTGACTGCAAGCTCCGCTCCTTGCCGCACTATATCCAGGCAGCGGCGGCGGCGGCGGTAGCAGCAGCAGCAGCAGCATCGGCCGCCGCGACGGCAGCAGACCCGAGCTGGGAGGGAGGCGGGGGCGCGGGGAGGGGAGGAGAGGGGAGGGGAGGCGCGGCCGAGGCGTATCCCTCCGCGCTGCACGGCAGCCTCTTTCGCGAGGCGCGCGACCCCAGGATTCGTCCGCAGTCGAGCTCGGAGCCGCGGGTTCGGGTCCTGGTGCCTCCAGCTAGAGGGCCAGCCGTGACCGCGGTGGCCGGAACACACCGGCAAGTGGCAGACCTACTTTCAGCCTGTCAGCCATCCGTACGCTGACGGACGACCCTGGGCCGAAGGGGAAGGGAAGCCTGGAGTTCTAGCACCGCTGCCGGCTGGTCCGCGGGAGTCGATACAGATGCTGATGCTGATGCTGCAGGCGACCGCCTGGCTCCGCGCTCCCAGAGCGCCCGGGCTTATCGGGAGCGGGGGCTCCGGAGACGGGCGGCGTATTCTGCAGCTCTCACTCCTCCGAGCGCGTGGGGGGCTGGGGGAGAGGGTTGTCTGTCTCTCTAGGCCCTCCTTGCTGAAACCCTTCCCCAGGCTGCCCTTTTCCCACGCTTTCTAGTCTGCCTCGGCAGCAGGGAAGCAATTGTCCTCTAGTGTCTACACTGCCTGTCTCCTCGGACTCTAAAGGGCAGGCGGAAAGAGACGCACGGTGTTTCTTATCCATGTTGACCCACTGCCGTTGAGAGCAGGTATCATAAGGAAGAGTGATCGGGGAGGGGGCAAGATTTTGGAAGGGGCTGCATTAAACTCGTCTGCCCGTGTTAGCCTCGTCCTTGGTGACGTGCAAAGTCTTCCCCAGACACACTCAGCGGGCTCTGCCCTGAGCCCCGAGCGCACAGCACTGGCCAGGTCCCCGCGAGGGGTGCTACGAGGAAACATACAGAGATGAGTTGCGAGGGGGTCTTTCCCTCTCTCCCATAAACACACCTGCGTGTTTGTGTGCGCCTGTGAATTGAAGTGATAAACCTCTGGCAAGCAACTAGAGCTCTCTCTCCTTTCCTGAAGGTTGGGACATATCATTATTTCTCCAGGAAGGATAGGAAAATGTTTGTCAGTTTGATGTCAGACCTGCGGCAAAAGCCAGCAAGAGGCAGCATCCCTGTCCCCAGAGCCCTTGCCAGCCAACCAGGATCACAGCCACAGACGGGAACTGACAATGGGTCCTTTCGTCTGCACCTTCGTTCCGGTTCCTTCGGACACAGAGCTGCCTCACCGCAGCCCCAGGGAGGCCCTTAGTCGTCTCCTTACCGGTGGGGTCAGGAAAGTCAAGTCGGAGGGGATAGAAATATAGTAGAGCTCGCAATCCAGTCCTGCGTCCCCATACACTCACACACCTGATTGGCTGCAGGAATGTAGGTTTCATTGCCTAAGGGAAGCCAAGGGTAAGAGAAAAACAGGCTGACGTGGATAGGACATATATCCCCTGTGATATGTGCTCCCCAGACAGAACACAGTCTTCTTTATGTAGAAGATTCACTCACTTGGCATCCTGAGTTGGGGGCGGGGGGCGGGTATTGCGAGAGTGAGAGGCAAAGGCAGCTCTTAACATACACCTTGGCTGAACTCTTCTAACCAATGACGCCTCAAGACTTCAGAATCAACTCTTCCCTCTTGATTTCATAGTAGCATATTTAGGACTACATATATTGATGAAGTTCTTTTGCCAAGCTTCCCTTCCCACACCCTTTTCTCATTCTGGGAAGCAGTAACTTTGCTTTAAGTGAACTCACAGTCCTCCCTCTGCAGGAAAGGGTGGACAGCGCAGATTTATAGGTGTGAAGGATAAATGACTCCTTTATTTTCACCAGTTCTTGATTTCTCTAGAAAGAATCAAGAAACACCACACACGCACACACATACACAGAGTCACAGAAGAAAGTTGAAAGGATACTCCCTATGCCAAATAACCTCTTCACCACAAAACCTTCAGTTTTCAATGTGATACCATCAGTGGCCAAGTGCATACCAACACACACGTTCCTGGTAATCTTCATAATATCTTTCTTCTCTTTATTGTTGGGAGTCAAATTACTTTTCTCTCAGGCAAAGAGGAGAATTTGGTACCCTTTGAGGTAATTTAGACATTAAATCTTCTTAGGGTAAGATGGAGGGAGGAGAGAGGGTAGCAAAGTTCTATTTATTACAACTTCGTATAAGACTGTATAAACTCCATGTGTGTGTAAGAGGGAGAGAGAGACAGTGTGTGTGTGTACCTGTGTATATGGAAACAGTGAATATACAGAGGTGATACAACTATTGATCCTGACCTCAGTTTGTTAACAGTCTTGTTGAAGAGATCAGATCAGACATAAACACAAAATTTGATTATCTAAATCAGATTGTAAAAATGCTGTGAGAAAGGTGAGAGCGGACCAGCATTGTGGCATGGTGGGGGGGGATTATATCTGAATAGGGGGTTAAGAAAGGCATGAGGAAGCCCTGAAGAAATGGGAGAGATTAGACAGAGAGCGTTGTGGGCAAGATAGGCGCTTAAGCCAAGCCTCAGGGTGTGAAAGAACACAGCTTGGGCAGAGAACCCAGAGGAACCTACTTTGACAAAGTACAGAGTATAAAATACAAAGGATGGATGGAGTTAGAGAAGGGTTCTAGGACCATGTTATATTACAAAGCTATTTACAACCTCCCAGAATGTAAATCCAGACTTGCAAAGACAAGAAGGGCCACAAGGGTTGCTCCACCCCTGGGTTTAAGGCCTAATTGCAAAGTTGTAAGACCATAGAAAAATTATCAAGGGCTCCTATGGGTTTTCTCCATATTTAGCTTAAATTAATGTTGCTGTGAGGTCTCAGTAGTAGGTTGGTGCCTGCTAAAGGGCAGTTCCTCCCACAATTGCCTAAACTGCTTCTTTTTCAGTAGTAGGAGTGGCCCCTTCTCTACCCCCAGCTGCTCCAGAAGCACATCCATTCCCCAGGGCAGGGATGAAGTGGTGTACAGCCTGACATCTGCCTTGATCAATTCCACTTTGTAATGGATTGAAGATATAAGGGCAACATGTAGAAAAATTACCTTTGCCCACTGTCAGCCTCCCATTCCAAAGACATGGTTCCTATTGTACAGACACAGTACTATTAGCAAATGTGCCAAATTTCTGAACGTGACTGAGCCATGTGCACCATGTAGGGTGCCAAAGGTATAAAATGCACCATCCCTCCTTTATGTGACTCATTTTTTTTTTTTACTTTTAAGACAAATTATTGTAGTTTCCAACTACCTGAGGGAATGCTTAAGAGGCTGAATTGGAGCTTTAGTTATTTCATGTATAAAAATAAGAGAAAGTTAAACCAAACTCAGGAATCTATAAAAAGCTGAATAGTAAGAAAACCAACAGGGCTGGATGCATGGTTAAAGAAAAGCAAATAAATCTGTTTTAAAAAAAAATCGATAAAATGAACATGAAGGAGTAGCAGAAAGATAGAAAAGGATAAGGTGCATTATGTGTGGAAATTATCTTTTCAGAGACATTCTGCATCTTCCATCTGTAACCTGTTCTTGCAAAAAGCATGCAGGTGTATGATCCACACATGGATCCTAGGCATGCAGGGTGTACTGTGAAGAGCATTTAAGCATTATTTCTGTTTGTGTATTTCTATTATCATTATTATTATTATTATTATTGGTTTCCTTGTTGACAGAATTCATGTGTGTCAAAATTATACTATTAGGAAATGGAACATTCTATGCGTTCATTTATTTTTACTTTTAAAATGTCATAAATCATTATACTTGTGCATTTACCTGCCTAGAAAATTTCCTGTTTTAACTTTGACTTTTTTTTATTCCACAGAAGAAAAATATCCACTGTATGAACAAGCAGATAGCCTAAAACCTGTACAAATAGATGACCCCGCTACTGCCTCTCCTTCTCCATTAATGCCACTTTTTCTAATGATCATGTCTTTGAAAATAATTTCAACTTTCTTGTTACAATAACATGTTAGATGTTTCCCCAGGCTCTTTGTGAGCATCTCACAGTAGCTGCTTTAGTGGTAAATTTAGATTTTAACACCTTTCTGTGTAAAGGCTTTACTCTCTTAGCCGTTCTATTTGAAAGTAAGAAACAGAAGAGAGAGATTTATGCTACCAAGGCACCCTAGTTGTCACAGATTCTTACTTTTTAATTTCTTTCAAGATACATGGGGTCATTTTCCTTCATGGCTACTTCATGTTCCCTCTGGGCAAATAACTGCTCACTTCACTCTGAAATTATGCAATAACTGCCTATAATTTGCCACTTACCAGAATAATATTTTCTTAACTCTGAGGGGTATTATATTTTTCTTCACCAAGACATCCCTGGCAAAGATAATGATGGATAGCAGAAAATGTAACAGACTTTAACACGTTGACAAAGTGTGATTGACACAACTTTAAGAATATATTTGGGATAAAGTGAGAAGGGAAAAAGGAATCACACAGTGGCTGGCAATGAACCTATTTGATATGACAAGGATCATGATGTGAAGTGCTGGTTGCCCAAATATTGATCACAGCAACTCAGAAAACATATTTTTGTCCATGGGTAGTATTGACCAAGTTGATGTCTGCACAAATCCTATCAAATGGAAGGCAGTTATTACATACTAGATAACAATAAATCCTTCATGCCTGGCAAGTGATCCCATACAGATGTAGGTCTGAAAGGAAAGACAACGTTAACTAAATGCATTTCTGAGGATAATATAATCAGTAATTAAATCTGAAAATCTCCTATTGCACAGGACCATTTGGTTCTTTACTAATGGAATTATGTTTCTGTTAATTTTCAAATGAGATTTGCAATTCTACTAGTGATAGGCAAATTACTGGTAGCAATGAGATTCCCCACTACATATCCACAAATCATTAATATTCTACCTAATAATCAACCAAGGCACATCATTCAGATATACACATTAGTTTATTTTCATGTGAATTATTTAAGTTAAAAATCCTTATATTTTACATTTACATGA